TATTTCTAAAAACATTAAATAAATTCTATTCTTCACCATAGGTTTACTATGCTGTATAACAAAGATGGTATCGATCGGTTGTCAGCAACCACTGGTCACACCATGAAAGGCATTCTGGACACAAATTTCACATCACAGCAACAATCTTATTGTTTTTCATCCTAATATGAAGAACACGGGTACAAAAGTATAAAACTACTGTGAAAAGCTTCTTAGAAAATACCTGAGTTAAGCTAGAGTAGTTTCTCCAAATTACGTTGGCTTACTGTTATTTTTGTCACTTTTGAAAGTTCATGTAAACGTAATTAAAAAGAAAATTACGAAAAAAGCAATAATTAGAAGACAATTCGATATTTTTCTTCAATAAGCAGACACGAGGTTATTATTGTAGAATTTATTAGGATACAATAGCCGACGTTTCGGCGGTCTCGCCTTCGTCAGAGCCTGGAAAGGTCAAATTGAGATACGATCTACCCAGCCAAATACTTTCATAACTCCAGCACATGAAACTTAACGAATAAATTTGCGTTCGAATAAGAAACAGCTTTATTTAAACATCTACCATTTATTTGTTGTAAGTATCTGAGTTAGTTGATGGATAGCAGCCGCACAGAGTAAGCAAACTCGAAGAAGGAATAAACAAATAAATCGCCCAAAAGTCAGATTTACATAAAGGAGTGTGCATTTTTAGGCAAAAGCTTCGCGATCAGTTATTCTGCCCGTCGCGTACGATCGACTCGACTTACCGTCGTCGGCTTCTGGAACGTCAAAGCGGAAGACTTCAGCTATAGAGACGACCATTGTCGATTCGTCTGACACTGGTAGTGATCCTAGTAACACGAAAGCTTCCAAATAATTAAAAGGCAAAATGTGTAGTCGTTCGGCACCGATTTATCCCTTTGGGACGCTCCATGACGTCGACTCCATAAGACTACTGAATGCACATTTGGTTTACACAATGATTTGCGGCGGCCTATCCATATAAGTCAGTGCTTTATTCCCCCTAGACAAGTATGGAACTAATGTTCCCTCCCTGAACCGAACGGGGGAGGGTTTCATTTGCCCATGGTGCAGGATCGAGGCAGCGGCCACATGGAAATCGTAGGTCACCTCTAATTAATGTGCTACGTACGCCAATTCTTCTATTATGTATATCGCAATTGCTAGCGGAATATAGGCCTTCGAGTCAGTTCTCGACACCGAATAACCACTAGCTTTAAGCAGAATGCTCGACTTCGTGATAGGACGCCACGCGGGACTTTTCGTAGTTGACACAGGGCAACACCTTTCGTCACTCAAACTTGGGATTAAATCTTTATATACATAAAGGCAACACCAATACAACAGGAATAACGATGGAAGAATACTGGCATAAGAATAAGGCAATCAAGTCGGACGTAAGACTCCTAAAGATCTTGCCAAGCACAAAAAGAAGGCAGTGCTAGACCGGGTGTGGCTACGTTCAAACGAGTAGTTGGTGGTAGGGCCAGGTCGCGGTGCTCATTCCCCAAGCAGTGAGACGTCCCCAGTAGCATGCCCGGTGGTGTGACCTGGCCACGTGGTGCTGTGTCTAGTGGTGTCGTGGCAAAGGCCGTCTCCATCGACCCATTGAATGTCTGCTAGGTAGATAGAGAATTTTGATAGAGGAATTCTCTATGCCAAGTTCCTTAGGATGGAATCAAATTATTTACGTACTACGACATTTGCCAGGCAACTTGAGAAACAGTAGATCTGATCCTTACTACAGAAACATGTAACACAAAGAAATAGTAACTATTCCGGGGATAGTTGCTATAATGCACTTCAAATAGAAATTAGCAGTTCATCTCATGTTTTCAGTGTCAGCCAACACTTTATCTGGAATGTATCGAGATTCTCCAGTGATTGGACCGCTCCGTTCAGATGGAAAAACAGGAGCTAAATAGCGATTCTACAAATATAATGAACCCTTTTTCCAAAGAAAACTCTCCTAGCATCTCATCCACCCTTTCTAAAGCCAATACGCTTAAAATCATGTAATTCAGATCGGATTTAAAAGTCCATCGTTGCATGGTATGGGATGTCTTTCTTTCAAGAAATTAAAGACAAAAATATGTGTGGGATCCTTATAAAGAAGACATAAAAGCAGTCATCTCTTCTATAACAGTGAGACATTTAAGCCTCATTTAGCCTCATTTAAAAACTCATTCACTCAAAATCCATAAATAATAGCTGTCCAAAAGCCCTGGATATGTGGGGAAGCAGCAACCAACAATGTTACTTAAGCAAGAAGAGAGGCAGCCAGCTTTTGCTTTTTTCATAGCAAACAGTTTCGTCATCGAAGGCGATATCCACGGTTTCCCTCTACAAACGGCTTATGTAAGAAAGATTAAGAAAGAAAGAAAATGGAAAAATAGAAAAAGGTGAAAATATAGGAAACAAATCCGTAGTAGGGAAATTGAAATAAATTGGGCACAAATTAAAAAAAGACGTTGAAAACCATGTTGACACGTTTTGCAAACGTGGCAGACAGACGCAGACACTTGTGAAAACAAAGGCTTAAAAGTTGAATAGTGCTAAGTACTAATAGGTTAAAGTTATTGCATTGATTTTTCGTTAATCGACTAATGCCGAAGTGGTTCGTAGATGAGGCACGTGTTCTCGGTCAAACTGGGTGAGACGAGTCGTATCCAATGCATCTTCTCGCGCCTCAGTTAGTCGCTTATACAGAGCTTTTTTCCACACTTTTTTCAATAATTCCAGAGCTCATTCAATATGTCCAGAATCGATAGGGAAAGCTTTAGACCAGTAGTTTAATCAGTAATCAACAATGATTTCGGTTCCAGTCACTATTGTAAGTCATGATTGTCGTATTAAATTAGTGGGCATAAAAAGTATAGAAACAGAAAAATTCAGTACAACCTACAAGACACTTCAACATGCCGATAACACCGTGTTTTTTTGATGGACCAGAGCGCTTACTTGGATACTTGGATACTTGGATAGCCAGTCTCCACTAGTTGTGCGGGCCCCACCATTATTTCCATTTGCCGGGTATTTGTTGGGTTAGCCATTGTAATAAAACTGACCAAAGTGTGCCCCAAGTCGTCACCATCACAGGCAGTTGCAGGCTTTGTAGGTCAGAGGAAATTTGCACCATGCGACTAGTCTGGTGTTTACTCTTAGCTGGGCTTCCTGATGAAAACGCCGGACTCCTTCTCAGCTTGGGAGACCCGACCAGGGAATGAATCCTCTCACCGTACATCGCAGCTGGACACTCCAGAACACCCGGCCCACGATGGGGCGTTAAACCGTTGGGAAACGGACAAGAGTTATGTGTTCCAATTAGTAACATACATTCCAATCATACCTATTCATTTGTTCATACATATATCGATAGAACAGAGTCTCTTCTACAAACTTGTTATGTTCTCTACACTCAAGTTCTCAAATCGATAAATATCTTCTAATACAGAAAAAAACAGCACGTTCGCAAGAATTGGCACCGTGTAACTTGCACACCACATAAAATTATGCCGGTGAGGGAACCAACTGGTCAAGGATGTACAATAACCATTGAATAAAGCTATATAACATTAAGTGACCCTCAAGCTTGAAAGAAGGTGAAGTCTCAGAAACGTTAACCGGACTAAAATGAAATATAAAAAAGCGTGCTAACAAACTCATGTCGCTTCATCAGAGACTGTTCGCAATGAATGCCTAACTTTATTTGCGTACATATGCATGTGTAGCAAGTCAGTATAACCTTGTTCAAGAAACCAAGTACGATGACCTGTAAAAGAAAAGTGATGAGGAAATTAGGATCAAGGAGCAAAAATTTGTGAGAAAACTATATACAGATTCCAAGGATCCCAATCAAAGGAGGGATGACGAGAACCCTGTATAGCCTAATGGAATGGATTTTTCAGTTTTTTTTTGAGTGAAACAAACTTCGTTGAAACTGGTGAGATATTGATGAGCATCATCTCATCAAAATCGTCAAAAATAAAGAAATATCAATATTAAAATTTAAATATTTCAAGCGTAGTGCCCTGCTCCACCTTCTCGTAGACAGTGCAAGCTGAGCAACTCCTAGAACATCGCTCTAGCGAATTGAGATTTCTGACACGAATGCTTTACTGATACCCGCTCGAGTTACTCGATGGTTGATGTGATTTTGGATAATGCAGCACAAATTACAAAATACATACAGAGAAAGTCATATTTTACAAAAACGGACCATATGTTCCACGAATAAATTTTTTCGCAAAACAATTGATATGTATCTTTAACTCCGCATTCCGTTCTGCTAGTTGCAGTACACAGCACGATGATAACGGCCGTGTCGTTTCGAGAGCTGCCGTACTTAGAACTCACAGAAAAGTGCGTGCTTTCTATCAAGGTAATGATGCTAAAGCGTTATGCCTTCCGCTTGACCACTTCTCTGGGCCACTTCTGAAAATAATCATCTTATCAATTCAAGAACGAAGTTAATGAAATGTTGAAACTTTTCCGTTTGTCCGGAGACGCGTCATATACGACTCACCTAAGCATCAGAGTGTTCACTAGTTAATTTCCTACTTCCATTAACAATAATGACGTCTAGTACATCACCTTGATCCTTTCATTGAAAATGAGTTTTTATTGTGTATTGAACTGCGTCATGTAGAGGACAGTTCACTCACTCAGCAAGGTTGCCGCAGGTGAAATGAGCCCAATATTTCCATTCAGAAACACCGCCAGCAGCAAAGCCAAGCTATACCAGATCTTAGCAACTTATTGAATAGCTATTCCATGCTAGCGATGGTAAAAACAAATGAAGAGTGCTATAACGGAAAGTGGTGTTCCACGCGTTCTTCGAGGAAATGGGCACAATTGAGCACATTGACGCGCTATGGGGACAAATAGAGAGTTCACTGGTAAACGTGGTAGTTAGCTCGTAATTAAATGGAATACACGTAATAGCTGAACGTTGCTACAACTTACTGCGTCCTGTGCATGTAACACCGATAACTCCTCCGCTAACTATTATTGCTAAATTCGCCATTCGGCTTGAAACAGTAGCATTCAAGCAGTTTCACAGCAGTCGGACGGAGGCGACGCTTCATTTGAGGACTGAAAATACCCGTTTTATCTTTCCAAAAAAAAAAACACGTTTGTCTTAACTAATATTAACCACCGAAAGCTAACCTAGCTAAACAATACTAGATAAAAACACTTGATCTCATAAACTTTTGTGAAGAAAAAATTAAACATTCTACTATTGAAAGCCCGGGCATCACACCGTGCTTAGCAGAAGAGGCTAGACTGTGTTCTCACATTTCAAATTTGTGGATGAATTGATAGAATGGCGTTAACATCTACGTACTGGGTATTTTATAGTATCAAAAGCTATTTTCACTTTTCATTAGGTAGAAAATAATAAAAGAACACTTCTACACGGCGACAAGGTTGTAGCCAAGTGTCATGGAAATGCGAACCAGGGCTGCACAAGAGCCTCGATCGGCATCCACAATCGGATGGAATCCTGCTCGGCTTTCGTGATGCTTTTATTCAACCGATACTTACTTGACACTTAAACGATTTATCCTCACTGCTTGTATAGGCCCCAGCGTAATCACCATTTTTCGAAGGCTTGCTTGTTAAGCCATTGTGGTTCCCTGGAAAGGTCAGTCTGGCCAAGGTCTGTCCCAGGTCTTCGCCACCACAGTCAGTCCCAGCCCTTGCGGATCAGAGAGAGATTTGCTACCATGAGACTTTGATATTAGGACGGTGGTAGATCCTCGCATTGGTTTACTCATAGTTAGGCTTCCTGATGGAAACGGCAGACTCCCTCCAAGCTTGGAAGACCCTGCCGGGAGAACGAATCCCACCACCGTACATCGCGGTCTGACACCTAGAAACATATCCCAGCCACGACGAGGAGGTGAACCATTTGGAGGTTTACTGAACAACTAAGAATATTAAAAAGGAAAAGTTCATTTCTCGCTTACCTGTAAAATATATAGAGGTAGAAAAGCACTGCATGATGGGTATATAGCAAAAAATGGGCGAAAAGGGAGAAATTCTGCATTACGATTGTCTGAAATTACTCAGTTAACCTTTACTTCACAGCACCTATTCAAAGTCGGAGTGGATGTGCTCACGTGGTGATCAATTGCTAGAATGTTCGTCGCCATTCGATAAATGTAATTCGGCATGTTGAGAACAATGAACACCCAAGTAACGACCATCAATGATCTGGTGAGCTGAACGTCGGTATATCGCAGACCTGAAAGAACAGTTCCAAAATTCCTTTTATAAAGTACCTTCCTCATTAAAACAATCGTTAGACAGCTAAAAGAAAATACTAGTTAGAGGAAAGTCAGACTTGGAAAACATGCTATGGTGATTTTGTTTTAGTGAGGGAAGTGTTTTCTAGTTCATGGTCTGTTTCGTCGTTCCTCTTTCTTCAAAGCAATTTGTTGTTCATCCTATTTTAGATGGTCCGACATAACACGCTCTGCGGATACCATGATTTCCCGCATTTGGTTCGCTCTTTTGCATACAGCATCCACGAAAGTTTTCGAATTTACCGGTTCGGCTGCTGCTTTTTGATTTCTGGTGTTCCTTGTGAATGTCGTTGAATTCCGATCGAATCGATTTTCCCTCATATCCTAGAAAAGCCACGCTAGCACTTTTCCAAAACTCCATAAAAGGCAGGCGTCAGCTTTTCGTGGACTGTATTTTATCCAAAGCGAGATAGTGCAAATGCTCTGAGCCAGGATGAATGAGAGCAAAGTAAGCCGTTAGGAAACAGAAACTGTTTCTAGTGTTGGTATTTTAGTAGATCAAGGAACAAATATTAAAAATAGAGAAGAAGTCATATGCTGCTCCACCTCTCTTCTTCGGCTTCGCTAGATCCAACGAGAAGTGCGTAGGACGTCGACTGAGAGAAAGCCTGTAATGAATAGTCGATTTCAATGTACTCTCATTATCTAAATCAACATAAATTAACACATGGGCTACCACCGTCTTCTTTTAACGAACAGCATATTGGACTCGGTGTTCTTCGTCTAAACATTAGTCTTGATGGTCTTCCAATTGGAAGCAGAAAAGAGGAATAGGCAAATAAATAATCCCAAAATGCCGGACGTGCAGCAATTCTATTCCAGCCAAGATTATGCAACACAGTCTTCTTCAAAGTGTTTGCTTCACAAATGATTTTCTTGTCTTTCTATCAAGTCTAAGAGTAAAATGACGTCCTTCTATACAGAGGCAGTAAATACATCAGCGACAGTTAGCTAAAAGTTTCTCAGAAGCAATATCTGGCATAGGTTTATTCCTCCTTTGTTCCTTAGATGGGCCTCCGAATGGAACCATTGGACCGATGTTAAGCTTGCGCTACATTCTTGTAGAGAAGGCTGAACGCTACGCAAACTGTACATGGGAGTTCCACACCCAAAAACACCATTTTGCTACAGTAAGACTTTAATGTCTAGGATATTCGGCGTCACAAAAACCACTGGAGGTTCACGTCCTTCATCCTTTTGACATGGAAGTACGCTAAAAAAAATCAAGAAAAAAAAAACTCAATAATTCCATACATTGTACTTTATGTCTGCTTATTTGTTTTTACGTTAGTTTTTATCTTTAACTTCTAGCCAACATCACGCTTAAAAAATTGGACGAAAGTTGTCTATGACAGTAGCGGGTCAGTGGGAACACAAGCTTGATCCTATTATAACACGATGATGTATTGTCCATAACCAGAACACTCTAAATCACATATTACTCAAGAAGAAAGGTAAAAAAAACAACCGTAGATTAAAACCTTCTTCCTAACGTGGAAAACTTAGATTATTCACGGCGATGTCTTTTGTCCGCCAGCCTTAGCGCAGCCGGCACAGCCTTTGTCTCCTTCAACAACTTGTCGCTTTTACGACAAAGGCTTTTCCGTAATGACGTAGAGCTGAGCCTCAAACACTTACAGAAACTTTTCTAGGAATGTGCGCATATATTATTACGAAGTGCCATTTGGACCGATGCGAGGTTGGTATAAGTTCTCCTTATTGTTGTTGTTTCTGTGGTTCGACATTTGACGTTTCGGCGACTTCATATACGGCTTATCAGAAAATTCTTAACGATGAGCATCGAAAAAAAAAATTGCTTCGTATTTCATTGCTGTGCATAAAGAACAAGATATTTTTTAAAATGAACGAATATATGTCCAGAGAAGATCACTGCGGTCAGCATTTGGAAAATAACCTCTGGAGAAGAATAGTAGCTGGATCCATATCAGTTTCTAACGATATTCAGTGCGATATAAGAGCAGAACCTACCGCGCTACTCTTGCATGCGACAGAGAAAAATGGAAGATTTACTGGCGCCTGCTCGGGTCACTCGACGATCAACGGGACTACAGGTGATGCAGGTGATTCAGTGCGATATAAGAGACAAGCTGAGGAAAACGCTCGAAGATCTGTAAGGCCTGCAAAGGTCGAAACAAAACACCACTCTGATCACGCTTTAAATAGAAACCCTGAGATAGATTGCGTGCCAAAACCGTAAAGTGTTACTGTGTTAGGAGTTATAGAACTTCTGGAAAGTGAGAGGTCCTTATTAGAATGGAGTCGAGTTTTCCGTGCAGTCAACCAATTTTTAAAACAATTCTGCGTAGAATCACGTGAAGTTCATATGAACTTCAAGATCAACTGCATTACAAGGCTAGGCTGGAAAGACTAGGTAACGGAATACAAAGAGGGGAATTACCATAAATACCTTTGTCCCGAGCTTTCCTTAAGCAAGAATAGCCAAGTTCAAAATTGATCCTGCCTTTCATTTATATCCGAACGAATTTCTCCAGATACTTAATCATTACCCAAATAGAAAATTAAGCTAAAACTTAAGCATGAACAAAAACATGGTATGCGGTTGGTCAGAGAACTTATAAGTTCAAAATCTATCCGACTATCTATTACTGAAAAGAGGATATTTGCTGTTATTATTGGTCAGTTGGATGTTAGAAAAACAGAAAAAACATGTATGCGATGTTTCCCTTCTTTGACCATCTTTGAAAAGGAATATAGAGATGAATACCGAAAATTTAATAGGAAATGGGCAACACGGCAAAGGCCTTTAGAGCCTTTAGTTATCTTTCAGCTAAAAAATGACCAACCAACAGGTCCTACCTCAACTTACTTGTTAAAACACATGAGGTCACTGCTACTGATGGCCTTGCGTCCACCGACTCATAATCAGTTGCATAGGTGGATCAACGGATAGAATAACATGGTCTCTAATCTCTGTTCTAACCCAATTGCTGAAATTCAAACCAATCTATCTGCGCAATATTAAAATGTTTCTAGACCACCAACAGTGAGCGCATCCAAACAGCACGCATTTCGATGTTACGTCACTTTATACCAACGTGTCCAGTGACACCGCAATGCAAACCATTCTCGAGCTGTTCGTAGAACATGAGAAGAAAGTAATTATGTACGGTTTTTCGAATGAGGAACTAATGACTCTCTTAAAACAGTGGCTTAGTTGTGAATTATAACTCGTATGAAGTGCTGAGATATTTGCAAAACTCCGGACCACAGGTATACGCAGTGGGGAACGAACACGCGCTGTTGTCCTTACCGGGGAGCAGCGCACTTCACCACTGCACCATCCGGGTCCTTCGCTTTGCATGTATCTCAGCTAGTTCTATCGATCTTTTTTGCCATCAGCAATCACCCGTCAGTGGGATTGATCTGGGGAGCCAATTGGCTCTTTTGGATTGGCTCAATTGGATTAGCAATTTTGGATTGGCTCTTTTGGATTGGCTCAATTGGATTGGCTCTTTTGGATTGGCTCAATTGGATTGGCTCTTTTGGATTGGCTCAATTGGATTGGCTCTTTTGGATTGGCTCAATTGGATTGGCTCCCCAGATCAATTCCGTTGACGGGTGATTGCTGATGGCAAAAAAGATCGATAGAACTAGCTGAGATACATGCAAAGCGAAGGACCCGGATGGTGTAGTGGTGAGGTGCGCTGCTCCCCGGTAAGGACAACAGCGCGTGTTCGTTCCCCGCTGCATACACCTGTGGTCCGGAGTTTTGCAAATATCTCAGCACTTCATACGAGTTATATTTCACAACATACCCTGCCATTAAGAAGAAAAAGGCAGTAAATAAAAGAGTTAAGATAGTGGCTTAGTTGGTCATTTTCAGGTGCACGGGAAGATATTCTGCGCAAATTAGAGGGATGGCCATGGGACGGCGATTAGCACCAAGCTTTGCCATCGCTTCCATGTCTAAGGTGAAGCACCAGTTCTTGATCACCGATTAATACACTAACGTCGATAAATAGACGACGGCTTCATCGTCTGTTCCACACAAGAACAGATGGTCCAAAGCCTTAAATTGTTCATTAGACAGTCGAAATATATAATTTTACACGAGAAAACCAACGAGAACTAGCTTCTATTCTTAAACATCCAAATAAAGCTTTCAGAAATTGGCTATATAACAAAACGGTATCGAAAACCTAGTAGGAGAAATATACTAGTGCAGTACCTCTTCTTTGATCCCTCAAACATGAAAAAAGCACACATTAAAAATATTCACCAAACGGCTAAAAATTCGTACACAAGAGAAGAGGAAAGGAAGGGGTCGTTAAATTTAGTTTGAAAAATAACCATTTTTAAAGGCTATAAAACAGACTAGGGCCTGACCAAGAGGTGTGGTTATTTCCCAAAACAATGATTGAAACCTAAGACCTCTTTCAAATTAGCCTTCACATCGAACTAAGTAATTTACTCCATTAAAAGGTGCATAAGAAAAAGTAGTTTTGAAAATCTTATTGACCTCCTACCTAACAGCCTACTCAGTCAATTAGTCCGTAACTGACCCTATAACCGTTTGAACAGTTAATAAAATTGTGTATTCTGCCACGACCGACTTTCTATTAACCTCGGCATTGATCAAGTGATTTTCTTCGTATTTTTGTTGAGCAAACGCGAGGTGTTATTATTCTTTGTTCACGATTAAGCTGACGTTTCGGCGGATTTCGCCTTCCTCAGAGCCGCTTCCTATGAGGTTTCCACTAAGTATGTCACGTAGAGACCAACCGCACAGAAATCACGTGGAAGTATAATGTCTGAGGAAGGCAAAATCCGCCGAACCGTCAGCTTAATCGTGAACAAAGAATAATAACACCTCGCGTTTGCTCAACAAAAATACGAAGAAAATCACTGTGTATTCTCCCGCTACAGACTTTCTATAAACTTTGGCAGTGATCAAGTAATTCTCGATATTCTTGTTGAAAAAACACGAAGTGTTACTTTGCTCTTCATTTTGGTAAAGCTAACGTTTCGGTAGTATCGCCTTCCTCAGAGCCTGGAAGGGTAAACTGAAATGGAATTTACGGCGCCAAACGCTTCAACAACACAATACAGACGGGATAAAAATCTAAATAGTAATCAAATGATCAAAAGCTTGCCGAAAAGCCCACCGCTTCTTAAGTGACTTCAACTGAGTAAGAACAACTGATTAGGGTCGCATACAGTCGATGATTGCACCACCCCACAACAAAACTTGATGCGAAGATACGGGTCGGGATCGGTTGTGATCTCAAAGGCATTCCTCCCTACTATTGTTGTAGGGTTCTTGACATTTATAGAAAGAGGTTCAAGAAATTTGCGCGTTGCTGTTTTCGCATTCTGTACGAGGATAGTGACTGTGTAGTCTGTTGCTACGGGAAAGAGGGATATTGGATTAAATATAACTTCAACGATGCTGAGATATTTGCAAAACCCCGAACCACAGGTGTCCGCGGTGGAGAACGAACGCGCTATTGTCCTTTCCGGAGACTAACGCTTTCACCACCACACCATACGGGTCTTCCGTTTTTTTCGAGCCCTCATGGTGTGGTGGTGAACGCGTTACTCTCCGGAAAGGCCAGTAGCGCGTTCGTTCCACACCGCACACACCCGCAGTCCGGAGTTTCACAAATATCTCAGCATTATGTATTCTTTCTTTGATGAGCTTACACGAGGTTGATAATGATGTTTATTTTCGGCTAACGTCTCGACTTCTTCGCCCTCCTCAGAGCCGATGATCCGAGTCGATGGTCCTCGCTTGTTATTCGTCTCGACTTGGCAGCTTCGCCTTCGTGTCGAGTCAGGTCTTCTTCAGTGAGCCATCTCCTCGAATGAAGCATCCTTACTCAGTGATGCCCTTTTATACACGATCCTGATGGTGGATATAATGATAATGTCCGGTGATAACAACTTGCTTTTCTTCCGGACATAATCATCGCGCACATCGTGCAGAAGTCGGTGTTATTATCAGCTAGCACAAAGCGTAGTAATATTTCGAAACGTCTTCTAACGTTTCGACGTCTTCGTCTTCCTTAGAGCCGAAAATAAACATCATTAGTAACCTCGTGTGAGCTCATCAAAGAAAGAATACATATTGATTAGTGATACCGAGGTTCAAGGAAAGTCGGTTTCGAAATATCTCAGCATTGTTGAAATTGTATTTTGCAATATACTATGCCATTAAAAAGAATAAGCAGTAAATAAAACAGTTAGGATTGCTATTGGTTGTGAGTATTGGTGATGATTTTGAAGTCACTGTTTGGATCATAGCGCAGGAAGCAATGGCATCAAGCGACAAGACTCTTGAAGTGTCTTGGATAAATTTCAAAAATGCAAAGATGAGGAAGGACGAAGGACTCACTATCACACGTAACCTGGCGCACTTGTCGGATTAATTTATTGATCTGGATGGGTTTCACCTCATGTAAATAGCACACGGGTGGTTGGTTCCACAAACAAACAAAAGATGGCTAGGCGAAGTCTCCGGAATGTCCGCCATCGAACCATAGCAACAGGAACAGCAACGAAAACTTATACCAACTTTGCATCAACTCAACAAGGACAGTTCGTAGGGATACACATACATATATCAATCACTTATGCAGAGTTTTATAGAAAGTCGGTCCTTTGAGTTATTTTCGGGAATCCCTTGTTTCGGACGTCCTTGAGTTATGACAATGTAGTTGAAGATGAATCTACTTGTCGAACACTTTCACTCTAAAGCTCTTCGATGAAGGAGTTAATGACCGCTGGTTTCTGTTGGTTTCTCACCAATCTCGATGGACTTTAGCTTCAGAGGATTCGTTGACGTTCGACATCGGAACCATGGTGCACTTCTGTCGCGCAGCTAGTGATAAAATGACATCACGTGTGTAGATGAAGAAACAAATGATTTTCAAATCATCATGTGCTAAGATTGCTGAACTATAATACTATCGAAATGATATGTGCTAGCGACGAACTCAGATAACCGAGGACACCTCTCTAAAGGAACGAGGTATTGAACGTGACTTTTTTATTGCACAACGATAAATTTCTCAACCTCTTTACATGCACCGGAAGCGTCCTAACTTCGAATATAGATTTTTGGCCACACGAAATTTGAAAGTGGAACATGAGTGTGCGGTCATAACCTGGCGAAGATGAGCAAAAGTATGGTCTCTTTCTTTGTTTTCTAACTTTTACACCGCTTAGAGAGCTAATTATCAGATTTATAGAAGGATACGTAAATTCCACGATAACTAAACAAAGGTAAAGTAAGATAATCATAAATTTGACTGTTTTATGAGAACAAGAAGGAAAAATATCTCACCGAGTACAGCTTTTCGTTGCCTGACTGGGTGCTGATAAAGCTGAGGTTACAGGAATATCTGCCTCGGACGTATTGAATGAAACGGTTGGGGTACCAGGATACTCCCTTAAAATTTCGACAGCGACTTAGCTTTTTACGATGTCTTTTTCCTTTTCTTTAGTTTAATAAAATTATTATTTCCTTCCACGACCTACTTTCTATAAAGCTCGGCATTGATCGAACAATTCTTTATATTCTTGTTGAGCAAACGTGAGGTGCTATTTTATTTCTTCATTTACGTACAAGCCGACGTTTCGCGCATTTCGCCTCCTTTAGAGCATGCAAAGGCCAAGTTGACCGCAATCTACCCAGCCGAACACCTCAACAACCAAACAGAGCAAATGATTACTTCCTCTTTTATTGGCAAAAATAGATTAACACCATTCATTGAGTTGGCCCATATACAGTATCACTTTCAGTTTAAGCCTAGGTTACAATTTTCTATTTCTTCTTTATCTTCATCTTCCTTCATATGCTGACTAATAACCAAAGGAAGGAGCAATGATGAGAATTTCCGCCTAAGAGGTTATCCCCAGTAAACAGCCTCTTCAGCATCTCTTCTACTTCGTGTTGACAAAATAGAATTTCATATTATTCTCCAAGAAAAAGCATTTAGATCACATCCACCGATAAAAGTTTTCTAAATAAATTAAGACTAATCTAGAACATAACCAGAATATCTCTAAGACGATAAGCATCCAGGCACCGATTTTCAAGGAGAACTAAAAACTACATTTCTTTCTCACATCCGTTCAATTTCTAATCAAAGAAAAATTCTTATCTCAACTTTCTAATCTCCTATTGAAAGGAAAGAATAAAAAAAAATCTGCTATTACTTTTTTCTCAATTAGGTATCTTTCTTTCATGTCATTGATAGTTCTGCTATTGATACATGATATATCGATACTCCCAACGATTTACTGTCTCATCATGCCTGGGACGTCTTCCTGTGTGTCGGAATGTAATCTACAGGAAGAGAGGGGATTCATCTCACGACAGGGTCTGCCAAGCTGAGAAGAAGCCCGGCGTTTCCATCAGGAAGCCCAGCCAAGAGTAAAGCAATACCAGGATCCAGCACTTTCCTGGTATGAAACTAGTCGCATGGTAGCAAATCTCCTTCTGATCCACAAAGCTCGGCGACTGTCTGTGGTGATGACGACCTGGGGCAGACTTTGGCCAGGCTAACCTCGGGACTCTAGGGAACCACAGTGGCCAGAGCAGTAAAACTCCGAAAGAACGAAAATCATGCTGCGGTCTGCACAACCAGTGAATAGGGCGCATCCAAGTAAGTAAGTGTCAAGATATATCGATACGTGAATATCATCTCAATTTACCGATTTATCGCCTTGAATATTGACAAATCAATGTTTGAATTTTGCCGCTATTTTAAAGACAATCATTACACTTACGAGCCATTCTATTACTACACGGTTTTTTAGGAAGAAGACATACGACGAAAAAAAAAACGAAGAGCAGACATTACCTGATATGAGCGTTGAGTTTGCATATGACAAGGACATTCGATGTGACTATGATGATGGAAGGCACAATCATGCAGATCACTGTCTGAAACAAATGTCAATCTTACTTAGGCATCTATATATTCATTTCGTACGTTCTATTATTCCTTATTTTCACGTCCTGACCGATGACTAAACGATTTAGGATCGACTTGACAAGGGAAGAAAAGCAGTATTACATTTTCCACTCCTCTAGACAATCTATTCTGATGACCGATTTGCTGACATATCTCAAGCCTAATCATGGACGTACTAATTTACCAGTACAAATTGAAATGTATTCAATTAAGAATAAAGCAAATAGGGAAAAGTGCAGCCGTGGATTTTAAATGAATGCACAGTTTTTGCTTTGAAAAGAAAGAAATGAGCTCGGTTATAAACAGAAGATATAATATTGTTTCAAAAAGCTCAGAAAATATCTGGGCTCAGATGGCAGGCTTTTTTCTAATGGATATCAAATTGCGCGTATAATGTGTTGTGCTCAGAGGTGACCTGTGAAACATACGTGGTCGCTGGTTCGCTCCAGAGTCCTGGGGCTCGCCACGTCTACCATCCCGCCGTGGGCGACAAACTAGTACCAGACTTCTTTTGGAGGATAGGAGACCATACTCTACACATCGATGGGCTACTTCAAGCCACTGCATAGGCAGGATATGCCTTCGACCACCTCTGGCTATGCTTAGTGAAGTCGTACACATAGCGCATGTTTCAGGGATTGATCAACGTCGAGAGCTTCATCCTTCATTCTTACTATCGAAATAAGATAAACATCGGGGTTCAACCTCGGCATAGTCTCTTAAACGCAACAGGTTTTCTATCTCGAATACAAACGATGATCAAATCCATGCGTGCTAATCTACGAGTTAAATGCGGTTATACCCTGGCCAAAGGCACTGAAAAGAAAACTCTTCATACTAAAAGGTATAACACTCTGCGTGTCATCCAAGGAAGCGTGTGGCGCAGTGGTCGGAGGCGTCCTGCAACACAAGGGATCAGAGCCGGCAAACTGGTACCAGGCTTGTCTGAGAGGATACCAGCACTGGCTCGATATATTAGTAGACCACCGCGAGTCATTGCAAAGGTCTTGATACGCATTCAATCACCTCCAAATTATGCTTAATGAAGTCGAATTCATAGTGCATTCTTCAGGGATTGATCAATGACGAGAACTTTCTTTTATTTGTCTTCCAAGAGAACTAATCCCACTGAGAAGCTTTAAGTGCTAGTTTCATAGCCACGATTTCAGTGATACCAGCGGGTTTGTTCTACGAGTAATGTGATTACAAGTGATACTGCTGAGCTGTTTACAAGATATCATCAGTGAACTACTCGATGGGATCTCGTCAATACATAAGCGTTCATTGGTTGCTGCATTTCTTCTTAATAATAGAAGACGCGTGGGTGTTTTAGGACCTGAAACGTTTCCAGATGGTTAGCAAAAAATCTGAAATAACGCGCATTTTTCCTCTTGGGGAAAGTACTTGCCTATAAACACCTACACATGGCGGAAAGGTAGTAAATACGCTTCTTAACAAGTTAACCCAGAGCAATTATGTGATGGCGGAGAAAATAATCTGAATCATTGACCAAAGAAGCATCAAACGTCCTGTTTCTATTAAAATCCAAGTAAACTTTCTGCAAAATTAGGAAATCAGTAAATAAGAGGAGTATATAACATTGCATGCAGGAAGTGATCAATGGGACGAAGTTTCTCATAAAGGTAAGGTGAATAAATGTAACTATCTCATCATTAACTAACTAGCTGAGAGGCAGGCGAAACGAAGGACCCGCATGGTGTGATGGCGAATGCGTTAGCCACCGGGAAGGGTAATAGCGCGTTCGTTCCCCACCGCAGACACCTGCAGTCCGGAGTTTTGAAAATATCTCAGGATCATTGTGGTGATCTCATCATTGCCTTTAAAATACCATCTAGAAGGGCGTATTTTCTCGGGTATTTTAGTAATTAGCAAATTTTTTCAAGAATTAGTAATAACGGCGTATAGAATAGTAAACCTCCAAAGCGGTCATCACGTGGTAAATTCTGTCAAACGCAGGATCGACGTCGCAGACCCCGTGTTGAATGGAAGCCACGTAGAGAATCCACCAATTGAAGAGCATGGCGATGATCACCAACACAGCTACCTGCGCGCAAGCTCTGTAAACAGCCTGATGATTTCGTATTTCAAACAGAAAGCACCAAAAGCTGATTCACGAGAGGAAATTTTTGCTCGCATTTCAAATAATTACTGAACTTTGAGTGTTTCGCACATCTCTGAAAGCTTTTTTTCTATTGAAACTTCTCTTAAGAAACTTTGAGACTAGCAAATGTATGAATTCAACAAAATAAAGCAACATTTCCTTATTTTTCATAAGTTATATGAATTATTGGTGACAATATGAAACACTTATCCCTCCTTTGCGGCGGGAAATAATTCAGCTTTTCAACTTAAGTCATAAAAATCCCAAATGATATTACAGTTTAATGGGTTAAATAAAAAGCTGTTCTAACCCACGTGCTATTTTCAGTACGATTAAACCAATTTATGACATGGCTTCTGAAGCCCATATGGCTCGAACCCTAAGTAGCGAAAGGATTAAAACAGCTTCCTTCGCCGTCCTAGAAACCATGATGTTTCGGAATAGGATAACGGCTTTCTACCGATTAATAGGGTTGGAATATTTTCCAAGAACTTTACAACCTCTAAAGTCCTCAACTACTCCATTTATCGGGAACTAACACGATCACCAGGATATTGCATGTTTTTTCACTTTTCTCAGTGCTATTAAGTATAATGCGTAAGTCACGGAAAGTTCAGTTTGCCTAAATGAACAGAAACAGTAAATATGTCAGGTTCACAAATGAACAGTACTTTTCAGTTGTCAAACTCCTTTTCTTCCTGTGTAGTAACATCAGTCGCTCGCAGCTAACCAGCACAATCAGCCACACACTGGTGAAATCGCAAACATGCGCCAAGAACTGATTCACCTTACAACTCAATTTGCGAAATTCGATTCCGACCAGATTATCCTAAAGACAACAAGCTCTTAGACACGTCGAACTTTGTCGGTGTGTTAAACTACACCTAATGCCTTAATTTTCATTCGTTGCCTATTTAAAGATCAGCAGTAAATGAAAGTTGAGAAGTTGCGACTTCGACTGCAGCTTCAGTTTAACTGGGTTTGATGGCAATTCGTAATCCACAGATCATTACCGTTGACGGATGATTACTGGTAGCACCGATAAAGTGAAAACATAACTGAATGAAAGGGGCAAAGAAAGGGCTTCAGTGGGGCAATGCGTAACAAGTGAGCTCCGGAAAGTATAGTCGTGGCTCGATTTATCTCGGGGATCAAGTTTTCCGAATATCTCAGCATCGTTGTTGTTGAATTTTACATAATAGCCTGCTGGGAAAAGTTACCATAACCAGTAAATAAAAGGTTAACATATGTAATGACTTTCAGTGGCCTACCGATGTATCAATCAAGTGTTTGTATCATCCCGAACAAGTCTGGTACAAATCTATCGATTATGGGGGTTTGAGGGCTTGACGGGGTGCGGGATTGAACTAGCGATTGAGCCTTCGCGTTTTGAAAGGCAACTCTAACCCCTGAGGTACGCACCCCTTTGATAATGAGCATTTAATCCATTCTGGTAACTTTATTGAATACTTAAGCTGACTTATTTATTTATATGTTCTTATGAGTTGAACTTGTTGAGCTGCAGAGGGTTCGGTATAGTCGTTATTGTTGTTGTTGTTCTTCGTCGATGGCTAACACTTTGGCGATTTCGCCTTCCTCAGAGCCGTGGTGTTACAAATGGGACGCACAAACCCCGCATCAGCTCAACAAGACCAGTTCATAAGAACATATAAGTAAATATATAGATTGTTAATGCTGATGTTTATAGAAAATTGGCCTTTTGAGTTATTTAGTTGACCTAGCCGTGTAAGTACTTTTTTCAGCGTTCAAATAATCTGAACTTGTGATTAAGGAATTATCCAGATAAGACTAAATCGTCATTCTATAAAAAAACTTTGCTCAAAATGCCATCTCCCTACCATTCGCATGGAATTTTCAAAGAACATGGCTAATCCAACGTTTTTCGTTTTGCGGCTTTGCGTCTCTAAATGGTTTCTCGACAAGCAACAGTACTGGTGCTGACAAATCGGATTAGTGAAAATGTCGGAATTAGTGTCGACCAATCTAATCCATTTAAAGACAGATGATTAGCACAATAGCGCCGTAGTGGCTACGAAAATAAAAAACTCATCGAAAAAATATATAAAAAAATATGCTGAGAAGTAGGGTGAGGATGATATTAAGAAAAACCTGACCACGTACGTCAAAGTATATATAGGAGATTTCTTCTAGCCAGAAAAGAAACAACATAAAGAGAAACAAAGAGCTCATTGCGGCCAGACATAGCAAGTAGATGTTTGTCGGCAATCGCGAGAGCATTCGATTCGTTCTGAAAGCAACAAGGAATTACAGTTCGTCATTTTTTCACCGACAGTTTTTTCACCCAAATATTCTTAAACGCGTTTTTTTAACCGTTGTAGCTTGAAACAGAATTGTGATTCAACCAGAGTGATGCAAAGATACCTGCAAAACTCGGTCCGCATGTGTCTGCGGTGGGGAACGAACGCGCTAATACCCTTTCCGGGGGCTAATCCGTTCATCACCACTCCATGCAGGTCCTTCGTCCCCCCTGTCTCTCCGCTAGTTAAAATTGTGATTCTTCAAACTTCAAATGAGGCGAAAATAACGTGGCATCACAGATTTTTTTGAAACAAATTCGTGAATTTTAATGAAACGTTTACATATCGCTGGCATGAGGATGTGACCTTCTACTCCTTCTTTTTTTCCGCAACGTCTCTCTAATTTTCTCTTTCTATTTTTGCTCTGACAATGGAAGTTGGTGTGTGACAGAACATTATTGAAGATCTTTTTCTACAAAAAAGTGGTTTTTGAAGCGCTTCAGAAGATAGACGTGAAGAAGAACTGAAACGTATATTCTTCGTATTAGCCGGCAAACATAGACCAAATACTCCGCTAGGCACGCATAGGACCCAGAGACATAACGGGGAGGACTTTGAAGTATGTGTCACGACCCTTGCACGCGAATCAAGAACACAGGCGCGAAAAACTCTCGAGGCACTCTGGATTAATTCCAGAAATCCGAAAATGAACCGCAGGGAAGAATGCCTCATTATCACGCGTGATGTAGGGCAGTATATAAGACTGCTATTCTGATGAGTGGGGTACATTATACTTCCATGTGACTTCTGTGCGGTTGGTCTCTACGTGACATACTTAGTGGAGACCTCATAGAAAGCGGTGAGTGTGCAAAGCTGTGTTCAATGTGATTGAAATCTTGGTTTAGAGTTTCTTTGTTTGGTTATGGAGGCGTCTGGCCAAGTAGATTGCTGTCAACTTGACCTTTCCAGGCTCTGAGGAAGGCGAAATCCGCCGAAACGTCAGCTCATTTGTGAATAAAGAATAATAACACCTCGCGTTTGCTCAACAAAAATACGAAGAATTACTTGATCAATGCCGAGGTTAATAGAAAGTCGGTCGTGGGAGTTACTGAAACGTATATCTTCGGCGATGTAGGGTTTAGCTGAGGAATGTGGTTAGTTGTTAGTTGGCATTCCTATTCGTGAAGATCGGTATTCCTGTATTCCTATATTCTTAGTTTTGAAGATAAATTTACACACATGGCAGATAACTGCAGGAATACACACAAATAAATACAGAAATGGGCATATGCAAGCAAAGACACATACACACACAGACGCAGATACACACATATACAGACATACAATCATGTGAAGACGAAAACACAAACATACACATATATACGCGCACACATAAGCACACGAAGACACATATAAAGGTGTGTTGCACAGACACATAAACACATAACACAAACAGCCACACGGAGCAGAATTCACAGAATGGTTTTGCTAAATGGTTTATTACACCTCTTTTAAACTACACTCAACTCAAAGTGTGTTCCGATATCACTGGCTGAGAGTTCGGTCATTTGATGATCCATTAAAACAGCAAGACCTCGGCTAATGAGAGATACGAAATAGTGGACGAATAACACGAAAGATCAGCACCACACATGAAAACGAAGCCGATAACTCTATTCTTTTTGGATATCGGACTTGTGTGTCATTAATGTGCTGCTCGAACGAGATTAAACAGACCTCAATTTATCAAAAAAGAAGAAACGGGTAGCTCAGTGGTTGTGCTCCTCTTCATTAGGGAAATGGTCCATCCTTACCTAGGCGCAGGTTGGAACATTAACGGTATTCATTTTCAAGCGGCAGCCAGACCCGAACACAAAAAGTAGTGGATGCAAGAAAATGATTGAAAGAAGTGCTGGTATCCGTGCAGGTTACACATGTGATGTCGGGTTATACAATAGCAATAATATTTCCCAAGATCGATTTCCTATTGATTTAGACATTGGGTTGTAAATGCGTCGCTTTCTTTTTCAGCATTTGCGAGGTTGTTATGCAGTATACGTTTACTTCCGCACAAAAAACATACAACACAAAAGTAGTTGATGTTTCGGCAATGCCCCTTCTTCAGAGCCGTCTTCACTTGTCTTTCACCGAGGAAGAGCAGCTGGTAGAGATGCATACGGCTGATGACTGCAGCCTTTTAATAATAATATTAGTAATAATAATGTGGGCGCGTGTGACGCAGTGGTCGGAGGAGCCCTGAAACACACGTGGAATCGATCCCTGCGCCCATATCCCATCAAGCTTTCTATCCCTCCGAAGTGGGCAAATTGGTACCAGACTTGTCTGAGGAGGTGGCAGCACCGGCTCGTTACATCGGTTGGCCACCGCGAGTCATTGCAAAGGCAAGATGAGCATTCAGTGACCTCCAAACGACGCTTAGTGAAGTCGAATTCACGGTGCATACCTCAGGGATTGAAATGCTGAAAGCTTTCTCCTTTTTTGTCCCTTAATTATAATATTAATAATAATAGCAGTAATAATAACAAATACTCGAAAAAATCGATAACTCATTTTAAGATATCGACAACTTGTTAACAACCATAAACTTTAGTAAGAGCAAGCACAGTTGAAAGTTAGAGTTCGAAGGTGGTTTTCAGTAACTGAAGAACTCAAGGAGACGAGAAGTTGATACACTTTATTCACTCGACAGCAAATGAAATTGCTGAAATTGCTGAACAAGAAAACGACACATTCATATTCCAATGCCGAGGTTAAGAGAAAGTCGATCCTGGGAACTATTGTCAATGAAGGAATACACATTGATAAGTCGCACCAAGTTTAGACGAAAGTCGATTTTTGAAATATAGCAATAATACGACCACAACGATACAGAGATTTGAGCAAAACACGGAATCTAGTTGAGCTTCGATGCGGGGATTACTCTTTCCAAGAAAAAGAAAAGCGATGCAAGACTTCAATGATGCAGCGCATAACATGTGAACCCCGAGAAGGTTAATCGCGGATTCGAAACTTAGATCGAGCTCCCAATTTTGCTCATATCTCAGTATCGTTGTGGTTATATTTCATGTCACACGTTCACGTTTTACCTGTCACAAAAAATAATAGGCAGTAGACAAAACTTAAACATGACAACGATAATATTTACGTTTTTTATAGAGCTACTGCCGTTCCAAGTTTTATTACGGTGTGATAAGAAAGGGGGCACCCGAATCACAATGACGCCGTTCGATACACGTAAGATTTTGATTCGAACCCGTATCGGACGAAGCAGACCTTACATTATTGGTCTGAGGTCGAAAATGGTAGTTCTTCGATTTGTGTCTTCATGATTGCATCTAGTCGGATCTTCATGATCTGGTACACTTGAAAGGAGGCAATTCAAGCACTGCAATTCACAAAAGTTGGCAACTACCCGCGAATGCGCTAGCACGAGTATCCTTGGATTTCACTGAGAATCGACCCGATCAGTATTCGATAACATTCATGAAGAAGACAAAATCCTCGAATAGCAGACAAAGACGACGGAAAATTTAAAGGTTCTCGTGGAATACGTATGCAAAGAATGATTAAAAGAGGAACAAAACGGGATGAAGTGCTACGATCCTCGCAAAGTGTGGCATCTTGTCTTATGAAAAAAAGAAATGTGTGTCACGTCGGGGGAAAATCCATGCAGTCAAATCCATCTTATGAGTGAGAATCAATAAACGTCGAACTTCAAATGTTAAAATATATCCTCACAACATATGCATCGTCGAACACATCAGCTTGCATCTGCTGTCAAGCGTTGACGGTCGTGCTGTGAAGTCCCCAAGAGCAAATTAGAACGCCAAATTAGTGTAACCTACTAAATTTTCCAGGTTTCACAAAAGCAATTTTTCTAATAGGATCAATGGAAGCACATTGGAAATGATGAGTATATCATTAATAGTGAATACTAGGAAAATAAAATTTGGGTGAAGCCCAAGTAATCAAATATCAAATAATTTAGTTTTCTCACACGCTTGATAAACACTGTCAAGTGTCACCAGTCGCTGAAGAGCACCGCTCTGAACAAACACAAATTTGTCACTCAATCGACGAACTAAAGGAATCGAACTTGAGCGCACGTCCAAAATGTGGCGAAGTTCTCGTAAGTTCACCCATCGGAAGAACTCCAATTCCAGGAATGAATGTTTCTTACCCATATTCATTACGAATTCTTCATTTTCATAGACTAGTGGAAAGAAAATCACTCACGAAGTGCACTCCTCGAAAAGAACAGAAACTCGACTCTTTCCGAATAATGGCTAAGGCTACATGGCTAACTAGATTGGCAAAGACGCAGTCTGACTACTTTATAGGTTTGCTGACGTTTTCCTGTTTATGCGCTGAGATGCATTATGCAACTTCCCTGCGGAACCACAATCCAGACAACAGAGTTCCGATTTCTAAGCTGCTTTCTGAAGGCTGAAAAATCGGAAACTCTTTCTGTCACGCGAAACATAGGATAAATCAGAAATGTTTTGGGTGATGGGCACATTTGTGGGTGGAAAAATTTCTCAATGGACCTCGGTCGAAGTTTCTTGCACGGCTTATAATTAAAAAACATTAGCCTTTTTCATTTTCATTCCATGATGATGTAGGCGGATTAGATTCTCAAGCAGCACCAACTACTAGTAACGTTAAAAATGAACAAATTTATTGCGAAACTAGGAGGAAATCACCAAAGAAGTGTAGATTTGCCAACCCCAGATGATCAATATTTTTCCTACATCGTCAGCAAAAAGGTCTAGATTTTTTGAGAATAAAAAGCCGTAGACATTTTAAAATGCGTTTTTTACAAGCTCTTCACTAATGAAAATCGTACTATCGTAGTGATAGATGATATGACGTTGAATTAAGAAAGCAAAGTTTAAAAAGTAGACAAACAAAAGGAGTAATAATTTTACCAACCTGATTAGGATCCACACCATGGTGTTTCCAGTGGCACCGACTATAACACAAATCGGCATATAAGTGAGATAGAGACGTTGGAATATTGTCTCTGACATCTCCATAGTATTGTCGGCAAAGGCGCTAAAATCCACTAAGTTAGACGAAGGATGGAACAAGACAACTTCACGAGAGGAACATCACGAGGAACTCAGGCGGGGGTATCACGCTGTCTCAGAAGTGATTTGGTCAACGACATGGGAATTGTGAAAGCACTCGCTGGTAGGAGGCGTACTCATGCGTGATCGCATCCATTCGCTTGTCGCATAACAACAACAGCAATGTAAGTAAATACATGGCTTGAGGAGTAAGAATATGAGTTCCTAAATAGCATAACAAAACGATACCATATCATGTGAAGAGCTAGTTTTTGTGGTTATGTCAGGCAAATGTCTGCATATGTTAACAATTCCGTTAAAGATGAACAAGACGGACTCATAGTAGGCAGCACAACAACATCGTCATTGTAGACCAAGTGGAATTAGCTGAATAATCGTACTCCTCTAGTAATGAAATGCTCAAATGCTTTCGTCCGGATCACCTGGTTAATCATATAGTGACTCTAACGGACACTAAGAACGTTATTAGTCGTTGTTGTGATGGATAAGAGCTGAAAGATGGGCTCAATTTGCTTAAGATACATAAGGAGCTATCACACTTGTAAGAAGCCTATCATTTCCAGCTTTTTTCTTAGCAAAGAAGCGTACACGGAAAGCTCTTCGCTTTTTGTTGTGAAGATGTGAGTGTCTGGCGGTTATCTTGATGGGCTTCGGTGAGACTGGGGAGTGGGAGTAGCGGTGAGACTTTCTTGTGAAGGCTACAACCAACCAACTCTTGCGTATTTTCCAATCACTTAGTAGTAGGATTTCTGTCGAGTGAATGTCTAGGATAGAGAAAGAAAACCCTAATATGCAAACAAACTCATAAGGCTTCCGTAATTTCGTAAACACGAAACGTAAAAGTCAGTTCAGCACGACAGGGAAGGAACCCATTTACTGAATCTACCTACGCCTTAAGGGAAGTGAATGCTGACGTTGGTACCGCTTAAATCACTTGACAGAGACCATTCGGTTGAAACGCTACGTAGGGCGAATTATGTGAGCTCTCAAACTAAAAACCACTAATAGAGAGAATACATTCGGCAAAATTATCTACTGTTTTGTGTTTATTCGTACATGCCGTATTGCAATTGCTTCCTCTCTATTTCCGAGTTATTTTGCTTTCTCAAATCACATGACACCATCAATCTGCACGGTCGTCACGGCCACTAGCTTTTTAATGATTCATTAGAGAGTAGCTAAAACCATTTTTAAAGTGGTGAAATGAAATTTTAAATACAAGTTGATAAACGTTGTATTTAGGCTACAATGCTTTCGAAGGGAGTAAATCAGAGACATCATCCTTTCCGTACTTTTAAGAGAAGTCGAGGTTATAATAAGAAGAGAAAAACATGAAGAAGAGTGGTGTCGAAGTGCATCACCCTTGTACAAATCAACATATAACGAATAACCTCATCACAAATGTTTAGAGGAAATCGAAATGGTCTGTCAAAACATTCGGGAATGTTGAACCAACTCAAACTGATTGCTTTCAGTGTTTACCACGGCTCGAACATGGCTGGACAGAGAATAAATCATGGATTGCGGGTGTTCTGGAGTAAATGAACGTCATGCGATTGCGTAAGGAAGCTTTTCAACGCCTTACTACGCAATGGATCACAAAATTCGTAACAATGTTTTTTGTGATCGTAGAGCATAGGACATATTTCAAACTTGTAAAAGCCAAAGAAGAGCGGTATATTTTCATCAATAAACCATAGCGAACGAGTTCACGCGAATGTTGTGACGGATTTCGGCTAACTAGAATTTTAAAAACAGCGGCAGAAATAGGAAGTACTGTACTCGAGTGTCTCTAAACACTGTGCTTAGAAAAGGCTACTCAAATAAAATGAGATAAAAAGAAATAATTATGTCATAATGCAGGATTAGGATGACAAGATAATGGCCCACTAAAAGGCCAAAGCCATTGCAAGAGAACGAAGTTTCAGAAGAAATAAAAAGGCTTTAAAACAGATCTTATGGTGCCCAGTCAAGATGAATGACCCTTCGGGACTGATTCCGAATGGAGGCCATTTTATCTTGTTAGGTGCTTTATTATGAGTGTTTAAGACCTTCCCAATCTTATCTTATCGGAAAGTGTTATCGCAGTGAACATCGAAAATTGAGACAAAAGTGAAGTGGTAGATCGAAATCACGAGGAGGAACATTCATAAACGAGGAACGGATTGCATGGTTGATTGTAGATGGTTTAAGAGCAACTTAAAATATTTTTAAAGAGTCAACAGTTAAAGTTTACGTGAGAGCTCTGGCAAAATGGTCAAGTTTTCAAAAAAGATCCAACGTCCATTCTAACCATTCCGGAGCGCAGTCGGATGGGGAAATCACTGCAGTCTGTTAAAGTGTTACAAGAGTAAAACTAATGTCGTTGTAATCATTTTACCTTGCAATATGATTTTGAGGTCGTCATGAGGCCTTGACATTCCAGCTTTAGCTCGAGGCGTAGAGCCGATAGCAAGTGACAAGTGGGTCTTCACATCCTTCATCGGATTAGTGTTCGTGGCCTATGAATGTTATCGCATCATCTCCTTATCTTTCTCTCTTTCCTTTCTTCTTCGGTCTCTCCCGCTTTCCCCGCCCATTTGAGTCGGCTTTTTATCGTATCATGTTTTTCTGATTTCTACCTCTAATTAAGTTCTATTCATGATTAGCAATGAATCTTAGTGCAGTGCTTCCAATCCGTATCAATAAGACCTTCGATACAACAAATCGACTATTCAATACGAGGTTTCTTTAAAGGGGCGTAAAAACAAACAAGAAACCTCCGATTTTAAGAGTGTATTCGAAAGTGAAAATAAAATTATAATTAGAGGAAAACTTCCTATCAACCTTGAAAGTTGAGATCTTCGTTGTTGTGAGGTTTTCTCGATAAACGTCGATAAACAACCACTTGCAGTTATCCAAAGCACAGTTGTTCTGATAAGATGGATAAATGCTAGCTACTGAGCCTGAAATTATATGCTCGAGGAAAATAAATAGAAATGCAGCGAGGTGAAGAGAACGTTATGGAGAATTCGGGACACTGATGGACGAAACTTTGTTTCCAAAATAGACAACAAAGGGGAATGCTATATTGCATTTCAGTAAGGTTCTTGGAATTGCCCGTTTTTATTCGGAGCAAGTCTAAATAATGAGTGAAGAATACACGAAGTCTATTTCCCACTGTATCCGAATGCGCTCGTGTCGTTATGGTTAGAGTAGTTCTATAAAACCACTCTATCAGACGCTGGTTCGCTTCCACGTCACAGGGTCGAAAAACTTCCTGTCTCTCCGAGATGATAAGATTGGTCTCATATTCTCTGAGGAAAAAAAGCACTTTTACATCACTAGGACTTTCAATCAAACATATATTCAACCATCTCTTCGATGCTTGGCGAGTTCGAAGGCACGCTGTATCCCTAAGGGATTCATGAACGCCGAACCCTTCCTTCTTTTTATTCCCCTTTTCCAACTGTGTCGATCCCATGGCTGATGGTAATGATGCTTTGTCAATCGCACTGTCGGCGCTAAAGAAGATTAATCCCTCCAACTACTTACCGCCTCGTCGTGGCTGGGAGGTGTTCTTGGGTGTCGGGCCATGATGTACAGCAGGGAGATTCATCTCCCTGGCAGGATCTCCCAAGCTCAGAAGAAGTTCGACGTTTATATCACGAAGCCTAGCTAAGAGTAAACCATTACCGGGATCTACCACCGTCCTAATATCACATTAGTTGGTGACATGGTGACAAATCTCCCTCTGATCCACAAGAGCTGCTACTGCCTATGGTGGTGACGATCTGGAGCAGACGTTTACCAGGTTGACCTCGAAATTCCAAGAAACTATATTGGATAAACTAGCGAAGCTCCAAATAAATGAAGATTATGCTGGGTGTCGCACAACTAGTGAGGACGGGCCATCAAAGTATCAAAGTAAATAAAGAAGATTTATTATCTCATGAAGATGATGGAAAGAACAGTAGTTATGCCATCAGGAATGATGAGTTACCACGTTGTAAAAATAGTTTCGAAACATCGCAAAGTATAGCGCTTTAGCAACTTTTTCGACACAATTTCAATTTGCAATGGATTACCGTCATTACCTAACACATGGTTTTAATGCTTGCGAAGCAGCGAATACATCGAGTTTTTGAAGGACCTGGTGAACCTACATCTGGGCAATGTAGCGAACCGAAACGTGTTACCTTTTTGGCTACCAAGGTGGAACAGCCATCATATAAACGAGACTCTTGAATCCGCTAGTGAAATGGCATGCAATGCAGTGTGTGGAACAGCTGTCAAGCGATATCGACGAGGATGTCGACGGAAATAGACTTCCTCATCTGGCCAATCCCATGCGAGATTAGCGCTCCAGCCGAGTTCGAATTCGAGCTTTTCCTCTTCACCAAAACACTTAACACTCCTGTATGTATGACAATGAAGTCAGCAATTTAAGACAGCTAGAAATAGCAGAAAGAGTTCCAGTAATTTCCTATTACTCCTATGCTTCACTTCCTTATGGCTGTGTTTCATTTCGTATCCTACCATAAAAACGATCTGGTGGTTAATAAGAGTTAAGACTTCCTTTAGAATTAATGAAGAAAACTGGACAAAACATTGTTATATGCCACTATTCTGCAATGGTTTCAAAAGCTTTATTTCTTTTAAAACAGCGAGAAATGAGCTCTGAACAAGAATTCGGAACAATGCAGTGACTAACTCGTATGTATATTACATATATATACGTATATAATACATATTTATATGCATGTATTTACATATGTACGCATATACGTATGCTTGCATATATGTACATATATATATATATATATATATATATATATATATATATGCGTTTCTGGACGATGAAAAAGGCGCTAGAGTCTGCACATGAGAAGAATGAGTTAATCCCGGCGGCCAAGTCTGATTACGAGATTTCTCATGCAGATAGTTCATGTAGAGGGCGAAAACAA